TGTCCATTGTATTTCAGAAACACTGTATTAATTTGCTAAGAGTATGATATGGAAGTGATCCAATAGAATGTTTGCAGAAATTAGTCGAGAAAAAGAAGCATCTTGTACACATGAAGGTAAAATTCTAAAATGTAGGGGGATCCCTTTATTTGATTGGCATGATTGGTTGTAAAACTGATATACTACATATTTAGGGAGACTATTTCAGGAAGGCAAACAATGATGTTTGATATGTATATTTTTGGGCCAAACATGCCTTAAAGTCAGTGAATATCAAAAGTGCCCCTTCCAGCATTTAAGCCATCTCATATTTTGACTTTGTAAAGTGACCTAAGTAAATGTTTTTGTTTTGTCGGTACGTTGCTGGAATGTATTACTTTCCCCTAGGCCTGAAGAATAAATTAACTAATTATATATCTGACACACAACACTCAGTTTGTGCTGGTGTAATTAAGACTGTGTGAGGTCTAGAGTATGATTGGGATGGGGTTTTGGGTCATCTTGAAGAAAAACAAGGAGCAGAAGGCATGCAAATAGCAATCAACCAAGCAAACAAAAAGATGGGAAATGTACTTTTGACTATTATTAAGTTTAAATTCCAATCTGGTCCTAAGTAATTAGTGGCTTTGTAAAAAAAAATACAGACTTGCATGTTGCTGTTATCATCAATACTTTATAGTCTTAGAAGTATAAGCAGAACGCTTCAGTAATCAATTCAAAGAAACAGACTTCAAAACAGAACTGAAAGCTTCAAAGCCTGTTCACTGCAGGATTATGTTTTTGAAAAAATATAAGTTGCCTAGCTAGTTTTGAAGAAATTGTTATTGCGGTCATCAGGAAACCTAAACATTTAAACTGAAAAAACACTTTGGTTGTTACACTCCTATTAACTGCTAGATTATTTAAAATGCTAGTTCTTTATTCTTTCATGTCCTTTACAAAACTACAGGACAGGAAATTCAAAGAACCTGTAAATATGAGAAGGTTGCCTCTCTGTTAAAATGACTGTTTAAAAGCAGACCTTGGGCCTGAAGATTATTACTTTTAGTATTGCATCTCAGAAAAAAAAAAATGGAATTCCTGTTAATGACCAAAATTTATTCAAGACCTCTTTCTTAATATTGAAATGAATTAACAGATTACCTTATATATTACTGGCTAAACTGAACAGTCAAGGTCTAAACTAAGTTGTGAAATTATGATGGGTAGGTCCCACATTTAGTTGTGTATACTAAATCAACTGCTGCTGTAACCATTCTTGTTGCATTTCTTTCAGGTAAACCAGAATCTGAATTAATCTCACCTGAATGAATCTGATTGGGTTAATCTCACCTGATTTTAAGTTCCTGAGAGGGAAGTGTTTGATTGAAGGTGGCTACATAAGTCTCTTGTAGTAAATGAAAGAGAGAAATAGCTTCCTCTTGTGATAGTTCCCAATGATCAAAGATGGGCTAGGCAATAGGGATTCTTCTTGGAAGTCTTCTCTCAATGAAGAGGAATTTTGATGGTGAATTTATACTGAAATCTTAACTTTCAGATGAGTTCCACTTCATAAATGCAGAACCTGCTCTCCACTTTCTAAGAGGAATGCCCAGTTTAACAAAAGATGTTTCCTAGTACTGTCATCTTCTTGCATCCTGAAAGCGATTTTTAGTAATTGGTATTCTGTGACTGACAAAATGATGCTTCATTTTTGTTTGGGACTACCTGAATTAAGTGTGAAAAAAGAATTAGACAATACATTTTACTTGAAAGGTCCATGGTAAGGTTCCAGTTTGCCATTTTTAGTGGAAGGTAATAAAAAACCACTTTTGATATTTTAAAATATGTTAGAATTCCATGGCAATGTAAGATTATAAATGTCTGGCTAATTCTTTTTGCTTAGAAGTAAAGATCAAAAATTGAGTGGAGTAACTGAATAAAAATTAAGATAATATATGTTGGGACAAATGCAGAAAAATTAATGAAAGAATTTCTACTTCCCCATGTTGCTTTGATCCAAGAATTACAGAGATGGTCAGAAATTCTTTTAATTTCTTCCCTACTTTTCTGTAAAATGTGATAATTAAAAGATGTAGGTATATACAATATACATATATATATATACACATATACATTTGTAAGTACATATTTTCATGTATAAGCTACTTGATTTCTTTGTGAACCTGTATGGTCATACATTATCCAATTGTGCTACTAAGTTACATTTTATAGTCAAAATAAAGAACAATCATTCCCCAAGAAAGCTGAATGTAAAAGGTCTGGACAGACAGGTGCATCATAACTGAAAAAGTTACAGGAGGCAATAAACAGCTAGAAAAATGCTGAAAACAGTAATTTAAAATGTTGTTTTTATGTCCATATTGTTTTTAGGTATCCTGTAGAGTTCGCTTTACAATATGCCCGTGTGTTTCCATCAGAAGTTTGCTTAACTCCTGCTGAACTCTGTGGGAATTCCATATAAGAAAGTATTGTGAAAGTATTTATCAGTGCAATAATGATGGGTTGTCTAGGGGCTCTGCAGATTTATCTGAATATTTGCTAATAGCACAGAGAGGAGCTGGCTTCATGAGAAAACTTGAAAGGAGCCAGAAGAGACAGTGGGCCTCTGCTTAATCCACATAATCAGTTACATACTGAAAATATTAGCTAGAAGAAAATATGCCAATCAAACAAAACAAAAAATAGGAAGACTTTTGATTTGAAAACAAATTGCATAAGACACTCAGAGAAATGCTAGAAGAGACTACATTTATTTCCTGAAATGTATTTCCTAATTGCAAAAGAAATGAGGAAAGATACAGCCTGAATTTACTGCCTCAGAATCCCAGTATGGTATTTCTTATATTTTTATGCCTCTTTTTTATTTTCAGTACTTCTATAAATTTAAATTCAATGACTGGTAATATACTTGGATTTGTAAATCAATTATTTAGATATCAGTAGCGAACATGGTTTGAGGCACTGTATTTTTCATTATTCATTTTGCATAATTTTATGCATAATGATTTGTTGCTTTTTTCTTTTCATATCTGTAGTGTAAAGCAAATACTGAGTTATTTTTAGTCACAACTGACTTACGTTGCAACTGGCTATTTACCTGAATTTCACTTAACTGTCAATCTGTTAACAGAAAAAAAAATCACATCCTGCATATTGTAAATCTCAGAGGACTTATAGATATTGAATTTTTAGTGTGTGACATACTTCAGAGTAATGCCATTTAATCTAATATGATCCTCCATTCCTCCCCCCCCCCACTTAAACTTGAATATTACTCTTTCTTTGTGCCACTTTGCCATTTTCTGTGTCTGTGATATGTACTTTTTTGAGAAGCAGTCTATGAAAACATTATTAACTTTTTGAGCACCAGTTTCAAGAAATAATTACTGTAAAATTCTGGTCTGTCAGGGGGAGCTGTTGGAGAGGGAAAATGATGCTATTACTCAGAGTCATCTACCAAAACACACATTTTACAGAGAATGTTCCAAGACCTGAAGCAATGTAGTTGGACAGTGCAATAATACTAATAAACTTGCACTTGTCAGTTTTATTAGTATTCATTTGCAGTTGCCTTTCTTTTAAGGATTTTTGCCTCCTGGTCAGAGTGGCACCTAGAGATGAGTCAATCATAGTTCAATTTATTGGATTGCAGTGTGTCTGTCATGTTGTGTAATAATTAGGAAAAACGAACAAGCTGGATTGCTTTACTAATCATAGGGTGTAACTGTAATTAAGCCAAATAAAACTCCATGCTTACTACAACTCAGAAGACTAAAAAATTTCTGTGATAAGTAGTCCTAGATGGAAACAAAAGCTCTATTGCACCCTTTGACTATGGTCTGAATAGTTATTTTCCTTTTCAAGACTTCTCTATCAGACTATGTTAAACCTCTTTCATTCAAATTAACTGCAAGGGATACTAGAAAATCCAAAGACATTTTTTTCCTCAGGGAATTTACTGTTTTATCATTTTATGTGAGAGGTCAAATCATCAAGTCTGGGCAAGAAGAAAACTATTCAAGGGGAGTCTTGAATACAGGAATATCCAGGCAACTCTGCCAACATAGGCCCACAGCAGTCCAGGACCAGATGGGGGCAAACTGAAGAATTAGCTGTAAAGTGAATTCAAACCTTTGGTCAACTGAATTGCTGTCTAGGCACTGGAGCTAAAGGAGCCATAATGGGATCTCAGACACCTGGAGTTAGATATCTCAGTGTATAAGGAGGCACCAGGTTAATAGCACATTCACTGTAATTCATAAACAAACAAGTAAATAAACAACTAAATAAAATAACTTTTTTCCTTTTCTTGCATTTCTGTATAATTTCAAGTAACAAAATGCAGACCCATGTATGTATTCTCTTGAAGCTGGTATTCTCTCACAATTCACTGGAATTCAGGCTATTCAGGCTGTTTTGGCTCTTCAGGAGGGGCAACAAATTTCTTGCCACTTAGTGAAAAAAAAAGCAAAACAATTGTTTTTATGCTTGTGTGGGTGCAAGTGTGGCAGAAGAGCTATAGATTTATCCTATTGTTAGATTCATTGGTGGTGTTCAGTCATCTTTCCTCAGTCCATCTATGTTCAGTGCATTCTTCCCTTCAGAAGCCATTCCTAATAGCTTAGAAATGTCTGTGTAGTCTTTGTAATGAGAACAAATATGAAGATCTGGAGGCTGTGCTGTCCTAGGTCAGTCTGAAAGTGTAATGCAGATTGCCAAAATTTAATAGACTTACTATGTATACAAAACCAAGATTTGATGAAAGACACTTTGTGAGATTCTCATTCAGCTGGAATAGTAATAATATTAAAGCAGTAGTCAATTAAAGCTGTTACTTAATCCAAAGATATTTCTTCATGCAATTTAAGCAAGTATATTGTCTTGTACAACAATACATGAGTTTTTCAATGTGTTGGTCATATCAGAGCTATAGTAATTATTCATACTGTCTCTGCCATTGATATGTAATTTATACTTGGTCTCTTCTTGTTTTCCAGATCTCCCAGCAAGGACATGGCTTCAAATGAAAGAGAGATTGTGGTTTGGGTTTGCCAGGAGGAGAAGATTGTGTGTGGCCTGACAAAGCGTACAACTTGCTCAGAAGTGATTCAAGCACTGCTTGAGGAACATCAGACAACATTTGGAGAGAAAAAGGTCCTTTTTGGAAAACCGAGTGATTACTGCATTGTAGAAAAATGGAGAGGCTCGGAGCGAGTGCTGCCTCCCTTGACAAAGATTCTGAGACTTTGGAAGGCCTGGGGGGAAGAGCAGGCTAATTTGCATTTTGTATTGGTAAAGTCAGATGCTTTCCTCTCATTTCCACTGTGGAAGACGGCTGAAGCCAAGGTAGTACAAAATGTAGAAAAGCAGTGGGACCTCAGTCCAGCAAACTACATGAAGATGTTGCCGATAGATAAGCAGAAGAAAATTGTGAGGAAGACTTTCCGGAAACTGGCCAAGCTTAAGCAGGACAGTGTTCAGCAAGAGAGAGACAATATGGAGACACTGATTCATCTGATCATTTCTCAAGATCATACCATTCATCAACAAGTCCTTAGAATGAAAGAACTAGATATGGAAATTGAAAAATGTGAAGCAAAATTCCATTTAGATCGTGTGGCAAATGATGGAGAAAATTATGTGCAGGACTCGTATTTAATGATCAATACAAGTGAGGCTGAGCAGCAAGGGAGTAGGCCAGATGATCAAAAAGAGATGCATGACTATTTGAGCAAAAGTGAGGGAATTTTACAGGTTGAAGAGAGACTGAAACATCACAAACAATTAATAGAGAACCTGTGTGCTGAAATTGAAAGAGAAGTACACGGTATATGCATGGAAAAAACCGGAGAGTCTGTTCGCACAGAAGGAGCAGCTAATGCTGAACTGGAAACCTCAGATTTGGAAAGTGTAAAATATGAGCTGGAAAAAAGTATGAAAGATGGTCTGAGAATCAACTCATACCTGAGCTGCATCCAAAAAGAGCTTACATACAGGGACTCACTGCTTCAAAAGAAGGAGAAAGAATATGAACTTCTTACAGAAGAATTTAATTTACTACATGTTAAGGACAACATTGAAACTAGGCTTCAATCAAATGAAGAGCCATCCAAGGGCAGTGGCATCTCCAGTAACAGCATTGCTGTTCCTGACTTTGTTCATAGAGTGACTAGTTTGGACATAAACGATACAGACTCTGACACTGGAATCAGCTCTACACACAGTCAGGACTCTGAAATAACTGCAGGGGACATGGTGCTGTTGTCAACATAGTTGAAAACAGTTATGCATTTTTAAAATTATATTTTGGAGGATATTTATAAGAATTAGTAAACCTGTCGTCTTGAAAGTTAAGCTCTTCAAGGTATTAAAGCTGTGGCACTGCTTTAGCAAAGGTAAAGGGTGTCTATTTATGTCCTTAATAGTGTACTTGTGCTAGAATACTATGTGCTAGAAGGGCTTAACTGGTAATAGGTGCAAAATTGTTGACTTTGCTAGATCAAGACAGACTGTTTAGACTTCGTAATGTTGATACTCAGTGAAATGGGAGCATTCTGACTGGCTTGGACCAGAAGTTTGGAGAGTTCATATGGTTTGGTCTTTGGGTCTGCTCCTGCATCTCCCTAGCTTTTTAGGAACGTGAAGTAGAGACTAGAGAAAACTAGACCAACAGCTAGATTTTCTGGTCTGTTACATTAGCTTTATGCAGATGGAGTTTCCTTGCTATGAAACTGCTGTAAAAGATTATATAATTGAGCATTTAATATGTTAAAAAATAGTTTTTATGATAATGTAGAACAGAATATTATTATTTCATTTATTCTGTATTTTTAAATTCAGTTTATATATAATATCAGGATGATATTTTTAAAAACTCCTAAGTCCCATTTTAAAAATTACCTTCCACACATGGGTTTTTAATTTTGATCCTCTTTCAGCAGCTTTTATCTGCTTTTAAGATCCCTAAACCCCCTACTTATCTGTTGTTACCCTATAGTTGCCCCGGTGATGTTTAAATCCACACAGTTCCTGCCAGCAGGCATGTCAGGACTGCTTACGTCCTGCTTGTGTGAGACGCTGAAATCCCAGGCTCACACCTAACCCTAGGGGCATTTTCAGCAAGACTTTCTCCTGCCTATCTCACCGGTTGGATCCAGCGTCTTAAGCCTCCTGAAATCATGACTACCAAAAAAAGAATAGCAGAAGCAGCAGGTAGGAACCAGACATTTTAGTCTCTGGCTAGACACTGTTTCCCAACAGCTAGGTAGCAACTATTTTCAAATAGCAAGTAGGTTTTCAAATCCCATCTCGTACTGCTTTGGAGCAGGAACCTATAAATCCTTCTTCCTCAGTGAGGACTTTGGGATACAGCTAAAACTGATCCACTTTATATAGTTAATAAAATATTGTGCTTCTTTACCCAATAAAATATTGGGTAAAATAAAAAATAAAAAAAAAGGAAGGAATGCAAAACATAAGAATTTTACAACTATGTGGTTAAGTCAGTTTTTTCATTTAGGATGTGGTAGTTTATCTCAAACCCTTCTCCAGCATATTGCTGTAAGTCCAACACAAAGCTGTAGAATTGAAGTGTCTCGGTTACCAAACAAGATTTCTAACTCTCTGCTAGAGGCTTTGCTAATGGAGAGCACATGTATAATTTCTGGTTGCAGATCAATCTGTTTAATAATTTTGATTGAAAGAATTGAATGGAGAAATAATTACAATATTTCTGAATAAAGTTCAGTTCTGCAAAATTCAAAACAATTATGGAATTAAGAGCCTACAAAGTAAGCAAATGGACAGTACCTAGAAGGTGTAAATGTAAAATTCTTTCACATACACTGCTTTCTTTAATTTTCTTCTCCTAAGTGTCTGTCAACCATGTGCTTTCTAAAATGACCAAAGTGCTAGGACTGCTGATTAGCACATATTTAATGCAGAAAAAGAAAAAAAAAGAAAAAATATAGAAAAAGCCTTTTCTGAAAAGAAATTTTTTGTGGTTTATTTTTTGGGGTTTTTTTTTTCCTAATCCTGGCTATTATAAATAGTTTCTGTTTCAGCAAAGTGTGTTAGTTGCCTTAATATATTTTGTATTGTATTTTTTTCATACAATGTTATTTGAATGCTTCAATAATAATGTGTAATATTTAGACTCATCAGCTCCTGATGGAAACATGTGTATGAAATATATTATCTTTGTAATAATTTATTAACGCAACTCTGCATCTTTTGACCTCTGTGGTATCATTCTAAAATGTAGTTAAGCCCAGAGCTCTGAATGCTGAGAGTAGACTAATGTATTCTATGAGTTCTTATGAGTTTAGTTACCAATAGCTACAATTTCTATTGAGTCATTTTTTTATATATAATTACTTAGAGGATAGAGAATTGAAACAGAGTAATATACACAGCTGTGCAGGCTAGTACAAGACCCGTGGGGGGAAAAATTAATTTCCACTCATACTCTACCAGATTTATTTTGCTCATAGGAACTTGTGTGGATTCTCTCAACTGATCTTTATCCACACTTGGTAGTTGATTGTACCTCCCCTGCAACTTCTAGGTCTTAAGAGTATCACTGTGTTTTAAAAAGAAAATAGGTAAAATAGGTTGAAAGAGAGTATTTCTAAAAAAAATAAAGTAATATTAAAAATCCAGTGTTTTGAAGCATTTATTTGAAGTTTGTACTTTGATATCTCAAATAAACTTTTTTTGTTTCAGAATTTAGAATGTTCAAGATGATTAAAGACTGTGTGCACTCTTTGCTGTTTATCTGCTTCTACACTTTCCATATATTTGTTTGACTGGGTTTTAGGATGCTAAAAGTATTCTTTATGAACGTTTATGCTCCTCACTTCGTCCTTTGTCACAGCTATATATATTTTATTTTAGTTTAAAATTCCCATCATTTAAAATACACAATAAAAATATCTGGATCATTTACTGGCATTCCATTAAGCCAGTTGGCATATCCATCTTCAAATCTGGTTTTATTTTATAAAATTTTATATGGACTACATAACACTTACTGACAAAAGGCAGTTCAAGTAAGTTCTGCATAAGAGGAGAGACAAATGATTGCATGTTGCCAGGTCAAATTGAGCTTCTCATCTGCCAACACCACCAAGTCCTTCTTTCCCCAGCTAGTCTTGATCCATTCTTTGCCCAGCCTGTATTTGTACTTGGGATTGACTCAGCTTGGATGCAGGACCTTTCACACTTGGTCTTGTTCAGCTTCATGAGATTCACATGGGCCCAGCTCTCCAGTCTGTCAAGGCCCCTCTGGATGTCATTCCTTCCCTCCAGCATGTGCGCTGAATCACAGAGCTTGGTGTCTCTTGATCAACTTCTCATCTGTACAAGGGCAGTCAGAGCTCCATGAATTCCAGCTGGTCACTGACATAGAGCATGGCATCCCCTCCTTGTTTCCCCTGCCAGACCTTCCTAAAGAGCCTGTATCATTCCATTGCAATGGTCCAGTCACAAGAGCCATCCCACCGTGTGTTTGTGATGCCAATAAGGTCATAGCACACATCTCTAGCTCCTCTTATTTCCCATGTTACATGCACTTGCATACAGGCCTTTAAATTGAGCTCTGGATGAAGACTATTTTCTGACTGAAGAGGCAGGAATTCCTTTGTGCTGCTCTCCTGCCCAACCTGTGTTTCCTTCCCAGGCTCTGGGCATGTCTCGCTGGCACTGGCATCAGACTGGTAATGGTGGGGGTGGGTTGAGGTTCCCCTCCCTCCACAACTTTAGTTTAAAGCTCTCTTTACCAGCTTGGCAAGCCTATGACCAAAGGTGATCTTCCAGTTCCCTGGCGAATGTTCCCTATCAGCCCTCAGCAGCCCAGTTTTCTCAATGTTGGTGCCATGGTATAAGTGGATGAGCCCTGGCTATGGCACCAGTCCTCTAGCATTGTTGGTTCACCACATCTGACCATCCCTCTCACACCCCTGCCCTCTGACTGGGAGGACTGAAGGGAAAAGTGCCCGTACTCCAGATTCCCTTACCACCACTACCAGAGCTCTGTAATCCTTCTTGACTGATACTCAGAGCACTCCAGGCTATATCACTGCTGAAACCACAGTCCCCCACCTGGGCACAGCTTTTGCAGGCAGGTCTGCTGCCAGTCCCCAACCCAGCAGATGAGTCAAGACACTTCCTAAAATCTGAGATCTGAAATGCAGCCTCTCCTTTCAGCAGCTCCGTCTGAGGGCAGGATTGGTCACCACCAGGTAGACAGTGCAGCCCTTCCAATCAGAGCACAGCCTTAAGGTAGTGCCCTTGGCCCGTGCAGATGGTTACAGAAGGATGCCCGTTTGCTGGGTTCCAGTCTCTCCACACAGCCAGTGGAATGCTTCTTCTTCAAAGAAATGTCCTTCCACACACACCACTGTGCTATTCCCAGTTTGTCTGCCCTGGTCACGGTGTTCCTGCTTTTCTTCAGCATTAGAGGAATACTGTGGTGAAAGGTGCCAGACTCAGCCTGTATTATGACTGGTTTGGGGTGGGATAGGCTAGTCCATCATATAAACCTATGCAGAGACCTTCAATGACTGTCATCTGGGCTAACTTTGCTGAAATGAATGGACTTGCCTAATACAAAGTTCTCTGGATTCTGCATACATGAATAGTCTCACATACATATTTATAAACAATATAATTTCAGCAATTTCCAGGGAAGAGTGTATACCCCAAATTCATGTTTCTGACTGACTTTATTATGTACTTTAACAAATTTGATGAAAGCAGATGAGTCAATTTAATTAACTGCTTTAGTTCCTTGATGACTATTTCAAATATAAAACATAATTATCATTTGGTCATATAGAAATTTGCAGTATTTACTATCCATTTATGTTCATAAAAATTACTGTATAATTAGAAAATTATTGTCTTTTTTTTTCCTGCAAAAGTGAGTGTTCCCTAAGAGCTTTTATCACTTCAAACTCTTAGACTATATATTTGTTTTCAGATTGTCCATTCAGCAGTTGTTCTGCTGGCTGACTTGTGTTCTATATGTACATACATACCTACATACATACATACATACGTACATAGCAGAGATTCAATTGTATGATACTGACAGATTGAAATTCACAGTTTAGAGCTTCAGCTTGCAACTTTAGACTGCTAAGATAGGCTTTGCATTCCTCTACATGCTCAGAATCATTATTTCCTGCATATTTCCAACTGTGTAAGGACATAAATAAAAGTAATTTAACAAATCAGTATTTCAAAGTCATATAATTTCTATTTCTGATTGCCTTTGGAGAAAGATTCAGACCCATGCACTTTACCCAGCAAAGTACTGCTATATCTAGTGTTAAGCAAATAATAATTTGAATAAACTTGAGTGATTGCATTAAGTTTGCGTTGCAAAACTTTGGCAATGGTGGGACTACAAGGGTGGCTTCAGTGACAAACTGCAAGAAGCTTCCCCCATGTTCAGCAAAGCCTATTCCCCTGTTCAACAAAGCTGTTTCCAGGATTGCTACAAGGCATGGCTGCCAAAGCCTCTGGGATAACATTTAAGAAAGAGGGAAAAAACTGCTAGGCAACAGTGGCTGGAGAGAGGAATGAGAATACATGAGAGAAACAGCTCTGCAGATGCCAAGGTCAGGGAAGAAAGAGGAGGAGGAGGTGCTCCAGGTGCTGGAGCACAGATTCCCCTGAAGCCTGTGGGAGGGTCCATAGTGGAGCAGATACTCCCCTGCAACCCATGGAGGACCCCGCTAGGGAGTAAGTAGATGCATCCAAAGAAGGCAGTGTCTCCTTGGGGTGTCTGGATCAGGCATCTGGCAGGACTTGTAGCCCTGTGGAGAGAGAAGTTTGTGCTGTAGGACTTGGGACCCCATGGGGGATCCATCTGCAGCAGGCTGTTTCTGAGTGACTGCAGCCTATGGAAGGTTGCGACCAAACTGGAGAAGTCTCTTCTCACAGGAGAAAGCCCATGATGAAGTAGGGGAAGAATGAGAGAAGGAAGAGCAAGCAGAAACAAAGTGTGAAAAACTGCCTGCACCCCCCATTCCCTGGCCCCTTGCACTGCTGGGACAGGAGGTAGAGCCAAATCAGGAGTGACGTTGGGCCTGGGAAGAAGGGGGAGTGGGTATTGTATTTGTGTGGTGCCGTTGTGGCAGGAAGGAATGATGAATCTGACTTCATGTTCTTAGAAGGCTATTTTATTATTTTATGATACTATATTATATTATATTAATATAGTATCGTAAAATATTATATTAAAGAATACTAAACTATACTATACTAAACTAAACTAAAGAATACAGAAAGGATACTTACAGAAGGCTAAACAGATAATAATGAAACTCGTGACTCCCTCTCCAGAGTCTCAACACAGCTTGACCCTGATTGGCCAATAAGACAAAACAATTCACATGAGACCAATTAAACAATCACCTGTTGGATAAACAATCTCCAACCACATTCCAAAGCAGCAAAACACAGGAGAAGCAAAGGAGATAATATTGTTTTCCTTTTTCTCTGTGGCTTCTCAGCTTCCCAGGAGAAAAATCCTGGGCAAAGGGATTTTTCAGAAAATATCGATGTGGCAGGTGGGAGGCAAGTGTTTTAGGATTTAGGTTTTACTTCTCATTACCCTACTAGGATTTGGCATATATTTTCTTTAATATTATCTGAGCATTCCTTGTTAAATTACTAGTATTCTTGTGATTATTCATTCTGCTAAAAACAAACAAAAAATAACAACCACCCCCCAAAAAAAGTTATTAATTTCAATTTTCATCCCATGAAAATCTGCTTTTGTAAAAAAAAATATCTTTGGTAATGATTAGCATTTTTATTTACAGTGCAAATCTAATATGCATTTCAGAACAGAAATCTCTAATCCAAAGGACTTTTGCTCTAAACTTACCTTAGACTATCTCTTCCTGTCTCACCAGTTTAATTACCTTGAATATAAATTACTGTATTTTTCCAACAGTGGCATGGTCAAAATTATTACACACAGAGTATTTTTCTTTTCCTACAGTTATGCTGTTTATCCTTCTGGGTATTACACTATGTCATTTAAAAGACATCTACACTATTTTGCCCTTTATAACTTCCAAAAAGAAATTGCTACTTGCTATCTTTCTCAGGGCTCTATCTGACAACATAAACATAGTTCAAAACAAATACTACTAAATTTTCAATGTCTGTAATAGAATGATTTTTCCATAGATTAAAACCATTAATTTTTCCTGAAATGATTTGAAATGCTTATAAGGGTTATATTATACTGCCTTTGTGATATAGTATTTTCTAAAATGTAATAGTCTCATTCTGAAGTTTGCTATTGATGTTTGTTTTTTTCTTTTAAATTTAATAAGCAACCCAGAATATATTATGCTATGTCAAAATCTCAGACAAGGCTGTCCATGACTGAATTTATTATCTTCCAAAGAGAGGATTGGCAGTGTTTAAAGTACAAACATCAAGATTTTCTTCCTAATACTTAACAGATTCTAATATATAGTTAATATGCCTTACATCAAATATAGCATTTCAGACAGATGATTACAGACTGATTTTCTGACATTAGATTTGTAGCTGCCTTGCACTGCTGGCAAATCAAGTCTAACTGGAATCCAGTCACTAATTTTAATGGGAGCTGTGCACATGTTTTACAAACCTCCAGGTTTAGTTAAAGAAACCTCCACAAGAACATCTAGCTACTTATGTCTGGGTAGTGTATTGCTTTTTTTGAATTATGAATTATATGTTTACATTTTTTTGCTACATATATTT